ACACTTTTAATAAGTCGCGACGCCATTTTGAATTAATTATCGATGACGTCATGCGCGGAAAGATTTCGCGGCTTCCCGCCCAATGCTTCCCGCCAGAAGACAAAATGGTGGAAACTTCGTGTACATTTGAAGAGGTATGTTGACTTTGATACTGCAAAATACTTTCATACTTTAGTAATAAGATTTTGGTCGATATTTTATCGCGATGTAATTTTAACTTTTCATAACATTAATTCAATCGACCTCAACACAGCTGACATGCGAAGACATACCAGGCTCTTTGTTGACCTTAGAAAGGCTAGAAAAATACAAGAAAAACGAGCTAGTGTTTTGGTTAAAGTGCCGTGGAATTAAGCGGAAATCGTCCGATACGAAAGCTGAGCTTATTTCAAAGTAAGTATCAATTAAAAGTGATTAAATTTCCATTGTTTGCACACAATCATAATCTAGTTTTTATTCACCACCAATCGATGCATGGCTGCACTATTATAAAACGATTTGTTATCCTGTCTTTATCAGAGTGAGGCACAACTTTGACCTTCAACACCCAATTATTGACCCCGATCCTGGGAAATGTTATTCTAAAGCCAAAAGATTGAAATGTGACAAGTGCTGTGCTTATCAAGAAGCAGACAAATCTAGCACAGATGACTCTGACTCAGAAACTAAATCGAGCTCACAATCAACAGAAAAGTGGAGCACTGACACATCTCATCTACCGAAGAAGTTTTCATACATAAGTATCATTGATCATGCAAAAAAGAGTRCCAAGAAATCAAGTAGCTATGTTGAAAAACCCCTCGAAAAAGGTTACAAGTTCTTTTATGAGAATTATGTGCATGATGTATTATGCTTTGCCTCAGAAAATGGCATTCATATTAAATGCAAATGTTTTTGTTCACAAAAAAAAGGTGCAAAACCACACAATGTTTTAATTACACTATCAATGGATGGTAGTGTAACTTATGCTAAGTGTTCTTGTACAGCTGGAATAAGAGGTTATTGTAATCACACTATGGCATTGTTATATCTCATTGACCACATTATAAAGATAAAGGCTCCAACCTTTCCTGTAGTTGGGACATGCACTGACAACCCACAAAAATGGCATAAACCCAGAACCAAGGGAGTGTATCCAGAACCCATTATGGGGTACACAGTAACTAACCCAAAGTACAGTGCTAAAAAGTCAGGGGGTGTGAAATGCACTCTCTATGAAGCAAGACAGCCTGCTTTTAGGAACAATGAAGGGGCTATTGAATTACAATATACTCTTGCAGAAATAAACCCAAAGTTAGGATTTTGTACAGTGTTTTCAGATACCCCAAGTACTGAGCAAATAACATTAAATAATTCAAAGGTCCCTGTTGGAAGTGTTTTAAGTTACCAACTATCTCTGACAGAAGGCGATTTTGATGTGATGACAAATTTTCCTCCCCTACCTGTATTTATACCAGATCCAATGACACAAAATGACTTTCCAAGTTTGCCGTATGATAATAAAGTAACTACAGTTGGACTACAAATGCCCCTTAACTATGAAGAAAGTCAATTTATTGATAAATTGACAGTCAACAACCCATCTGACATTGAAAAAAATACAAGAGGACAGAGTAACAACTCACTTTGGTTTATTGTTAGAAAATACAGATTGACAAGCAGCAATTTTGGATTAGTATGCAAGAGAAAAGCTGGTATAAGTCAGAAAAAATTTGTTGATACTCTTTTATCAACAAAAGATTTATCAAATGTATTATCTATAAAATATGGCAAAGATAATGAGGCTAAAGCTGCAGATAAATATGCTAACTACATGAAAGCATCAGGAAATCCAGTCACAATATCAGAAAGTGGTGTTATTGTATCTCAACAGATGCCCTGGCTTGCTGCATCACCTGACCGCAAGGTGATTGACAAGGGTTATGGCCTAGTWGAAATTAAATGTCGCTATAGATTAAGAAATCTTACCCCACAAGAGGCATGTAAGGAACCTACTTTTTACTGTGATCTTGTTAATGGACAGCCACAGCTTAAAAGAAGTCACAATTATTATTATCAAATTCAAGGTCAACTTGGAATAACAGGACTGAAATGGTGTGACTTTGTTTGCTTCTTTTCTAAAGGACTTATCATAGAGCGAATACCATTTGATGAGTATTTCTGGGAGTCAATGATTACTAAGTTAACAGCCTTCTATCAGGAACATGTTATGCATGATGCAATGAAGCTATAAAGTTTAAATTTGAACGAAAATAAACATGAATAAAAGGAAGGAGTATAAAATAAGATCTGTATGATCTATTATGTCACTATAAACTTTGTCCAGCACTGTGGTATTTTTGATCAAGTGATTGCAATGTCATGTAATAAATGTGTTTTTATATGCCAATAATAAATAATAATAAAGCATAGTGAATCTTTGAATATTGACGCTATATAAAATGTACTTATTATTATTGTTATTATTAGCTGGTTCTATTAATCAGATATCAGTTGCATAATTTTGGGTCTCTTTTGTGTGGTGTGCACCCTCTACTCAAGTTACCTGCACCCCTCCCTGAAGAAAATTCTGGATCTGCCTTTGGATATAGGCTGTGTGTGCACTATTTTGATGAATTAAGAAATAATTGGATTTTGAAATAATGTTAATAGTGCACACACAGTCCATATCTGATTAATAGAACCAGCTAATGACATAGGAATTACTTGATCAAAAATATGAAAGTTTTTAACTTTATTGATCACCCTCTCCACGTGAATTCTTTGTGCAGCAATTTGCTGTGTGCTAGCAACATCCTCTGGTGTCATCTGGTCTTGCAAATGCAGGAATGGAGGTATGTTGAGTTTAACTCCAAGGGGTTCAAGCAAGTCAGCAATCTCAAATCCCTTGTCAGCCATTACACTGTCTCCCTTATCAAAGGGAAGCTTCAAAAAGCCACTRCGACGAGTGATTTCTTTATCAGATATTGATCCTGTATATAACTGTGAGATAAAAGTAAYACTTCCACTGGGAGAAATGCCAATCAGCCCCTTCAGTGTATTAGTACTCTTGTAGTTAGAATATGTTTGAGATTTTAGCATGAGTGAGGAAGGCATCTCAACTTTGATTTCGGTAGCATCGATTATAACTCTAGTGTCGGGATACTTTTGTTTGAATGATTCTGGCATGTGCTCAATTATGTCTTCTTTGCTAGGCCATATACACAAGGAACCAAATCTTAAATACAGAAAGTTTGACCAGGAAATAATGATGTTGCTGACAGTCCCTATTGAAATTTTGAACCTGTAACTAAGATCAAGTTCAAAGAGTCCAACTCTTACCCGGCAAAGGAATAGAAAAAACTGGTTTGAAGGGCTAAGTTTTCTAGGTCTTCCCATTTTGTCTCCCAGACTATCATCTAGTTCTTCAATTGCTTCACTTCTGTTATACACGAGATTCTCACCCTTGGCACCTGGGTTTAGGTATTTTAGCACACTTTCAAAAACTTTATAGCTTGAAAATCCTGTATAAAAGCTGACATCTTTATCTTGAATATTTTCAATTGAGAATTCCATTTTACTGACAGCCTTATTTAAATCATCAATTTTC